TTTTGCAGCTCTAACAATACGGCACTTTTCTTGCCTTCCTCGGAAAAGGCATAGACTGTGACAGAGACTCACAAATTCTGAGGCATGACAGTGTCATTATTGTTTCCCGTCAATTGAGATGTGGGAAATCACTGTTGTTTTTGTTTTCTTTCTTTTTTACCATGAAATAATGTTTGTGCTCTTGCTCTTTCTCTTTATGTTTGTATTCATTGCATTTTAGTTTATATTTATAGTTATAGCCAATGTAATGTTTAAGGGATGATACATGAGGTATCATATTAGTTGAGTAAAAGAAAATAGAAGTTTAACTTACGTAAATCTTTTAATTGATTTTTTTAAAAATGAAATTTTCCCTCCACAAACCTTCCTATACCAACCATAAAATAGAATATACGTTTCTGGCTTGCAGAAAATATACTACTTAATCTGTTAAAGTAACTTATGAAATCTATCTTTAATTTATGGAGATTTTATTATGGATTTTACATTTTAAATTTTCTCTCATATTTAAGAATCAGATTTCAGACTTGACAGTCACCTACTTCACAAAGCTACATTTGGCTCATGCCTATTGCCAGATGCCAGGCAGTTACAAAGAATTTAGGAAAGTCGGGTTATTTGCCCATATACACTGGCTTGTTTTTCAGAATGCTTCCGTGGAATATGCTTAGTTTTGGCTAGTGTGTTTATTCCACCACTACCTTAAATGCTATATTTTATTTTTTAAATAAAGACAAAACCTTACAAAATGCTACACACGAATCACCAAAAAAAAAAAAGCTCTCCTTAAAGCATGGTTTCCTAATTGAATAAGCTAAATGTATGTATCGTTCATAATTAAAATTCAGAGGAAAACCTAGTTATCTGCAACTGATTAGGAACAGGTACATAGCATACAGTAAATATTAGAAAATGCCCAGGAAAACACTTCCTCCTGGTAGCTAAAACGTAAAATGAAATTATTTTATTTCTAATTCAATACATCTTTGAAAAACAATGTATTATTGTTTCCCCGGATTTCCTCTGTGACTAAACTTGTAAAAACTATGCACTTAATTGATTAGTTTTACTCTTTACTAGATAATTCTCAGACCTAAGTCATATTAATAATATCTTCCCTATAAGCTTTCCCATGTCAGCAGAGTATAAAAAGTCAGCACAAATATTTCTAAAGTAGCTGTATATATTTGAGCAACCAAATTGCCCTATGATGACAATAAAAATGATATTTCATCATTTGCATGGCCTTGAAATGTGGTCCTCTCAACAGACTCCAAGAGCGTCACCTCCCTGCTTGCCCTACAATCCACCCCTGCTCTTGGTTTTGTCCCTCCTAATCTCATCATGCTCTGAGATGCCCTGTGGCCTCCATTGCCTTAGACTAGAAGTGCTCAGCTAGAGCACCTTTCCAAGATGCTTCCAGAACCAGCCTATCCCATGTGTAATGATTCGTGTGGACTAAAAAGTAATCACATTAACGACCAGATTTTATGGGCTCTTAGATCCCACCTTCGTCATGAGACCTCAGCCAATTGCAAAGTTCTCCTCCTCCAGGTACTTCTGGAAGTCCACAGGGGGTGACTTACATCAGCTCACATGCTAGTCCTGGCTGATGGTTTCTATTGCTCCAGGTGTCATCGTGTCACTGCTGACATTACTATCACCAATGCTAAGTAAAGGGTGACTCTGGAGTAATTCTCCCATCAGTTCCACATCCAGTTCTTGGGAAGTGTCTCAGGGACTCTGTTACACTCCCTGGCCCAACACACACATCCACAACCACATGCATGCACAAACATGTCCATGCACACACATGACCATATACACAGACACACACATCCACACACACACACACACAATGTTTTTGCAAAGTGAGAAAGCAAACTCCTCATCCCTCTGTACTCTACTGTGTCTGGAGGGAAAAAGGGGGTCACACGGTAGGTGTGCTTGGAGACTCAAATTTCACAAAATGTTCTGAGAGTGTCCTTTCCTTATGCACATAGTTTTTTTTTTTTTCCCCTTGTTTCTTTTTTTTTCCTCCAAGATGCAAGTAAACTGTCAGGATCTCTAGATCCTCTGAGTTTTCAAACAGCAATCTCCACACCAGACAATTCCCAGCCCAGTCTCCTGGGCAACCTCTTAGTAAAGGGCCCCATCTCTTTTTGCAGTCTAGATTCTTTTGTCACCCACATCCACCCGTGACAAGGCCCTGTAATGTCAGGATGAGAAGCAATCACCCCAATCACCGCACTTATCAGCAGTTATAGACAAGCAGTTTGAGAGAAGTAGCCTGTCAACAACACGTGAGTCCCAGCTGGGACCCCCTCCACCCCGCATCTCCATTTAAACACCTCGCCTTTTATAATGGTCAGTTCACTATTGCAAAGGCAATAAAAAGTCGGAGTGGGTGGTGATCTCAACAAATATATAAAATGAGTCACAAGAAAAGGAAAACACTAACTGCCAGGCATTTGGACACATCTCATTAATCCCCACAACAACCATAAGACGTTCAAATTATTTGTCCCTATTTTACACAGAGGCTTAAATTCATGTAAATATCAGAATCGAGGATGAAAGCCATGAGCTGTGACACCAAATCTGAAGTTTCCTCCTGCAGCACAGGGTGCTGCCTTGCGTGTTCAGGGAACTTCCCGACACAGTGAGCATGAAAACATCACGGGCACTGCCCTGGGAACGGGCCTTCGAGTCTTTTCTCTCTGCAGTGCCTCCTGCCATTTAATCAGCGCCTGCTTTGTGCTAGATTCTCTAGGGATGACTCCTCACATCCTCCAAACTACGCGATGACGCAGCATCTAATTTCCCCTGAATTACGGATGAGGAAATCGAGGTCAGGGAAGTTAAGTGACTTCCCTGTGACCCGACACCCTGTGAGTGGAAAAGCCGGGGCTCACACAGAGGTCTGACTCCTAAGCTCAGCCTCCTTCCCCCACACGAGTCTGTCATGTGTTCGAACACCAGCACATGATTTCTCTTGCAATTATTTATGCCATCTGTCAGTTTAGATTGAATTTCACATAATTTAAGACATATAAATTAGAAGAAAAATAAGATCACGAATTTCATTGTTCGAAGGGAATAATGGTCACATTCGTGGAGCACTTGAATTCTCCTGGATGCGTGTGCTCTTTCCTGGCACTGACACGTGCTACACATGCAGGCTTGAGTTCTGCTCTTATGGGCTCCTAGACATTCTGCAGGCCCTCTGCATGGGAGCCTCACAACTGTAGCAGGTGAGCTCTTGCCCCAGCTTACCTTAGAATGAGGATATAAAAATATCAGCCACACATCCTAAAGGAATCCACGCAGCCATTTTGAAAGCATGGGGCAAATTGAAACACATACAATGGTACTATATGGTACAAAAAAAGTAAATGGAAATGTTGACCTGTTAATGTATCAGTATATACATCTGAAAAATAATTGTTTTAAAAAAAGAGTTACATGCCTAGGCAGAGCCATGCATCCTTTTTTATACCTCGGTGTCCTGTGTCAGTTGCCTGTTGCTGCCATACAAAATTACCACAAATTTAGTAAAATGAATTTGTTAAAACAACAGAAATTTATTGTCTCACAGTTCTGGTGGCCAGAGGTCTGAAATCAAGGTGTTGTCAGGATTGGTTCCTTCTTGAGGCTCCACGGGACAATCCATCCTACGCTTCTCTCCTGGCTCCTGGTGACTGTGGCCGTCCTTGGCGTTCCTTTGCTTGCAGGTGCGTCACTCCAATCTCCGCCTCCTTCTTCAGATGGCCTTCCCTTCCGTGTGTGTCTGTGTCTCAACTCTCTCTCTCCTTTCTCTTAGAGGGACGCCAGACATTGGATGGAGGATCCACCCTAAATCCAGGATGATCTCATCTGTAGATCCTTAACTTAATTATACCTGCGAAGACCCTGTTTCCAATTGAGGTCACATTCGCAGGTACTGGGGGATAGGACTTGCACATATTTTTGGAGAACACAATTCAACCCACTACTGGAGCCATCTAGGTGACTATGTTAGGAAAGGCTGCACTTGTTAATTCGGGTCACTTATTTGAAAAAGCTCAAAATAGACATAACCTTAATGTGCCCAGGATATTCAGATCTAAGTGGCACAAAGGAAGAAATTAGACACTGTTATGGAATTTCCACACTCCAAATTTAACCCAACTAACCTATTCCTCTCAGTTCTGAGGTTGGAAATAATATTTCCATTTGTGACCTGTTGTTATAAAAGATTCCATTGAGAATGGTATTTTTCACCTGGTGAAATATTTTCCTCTTTAGCATGAATCTGCTTACATTTCACAAAAAAACAACTCTCTCTCTCTCTTTTCTCTCTGTCTCTCACACACACACACACACACATACACACACACACACACACCCCTGGAGCTAGATATGAGATTCTTGTGTGCTTATCTGAGTTAGATAAGGTGACTACATAGAAGAAACACTTCTCTCTTTGTTGGATCAGAGCACATAATGCTACATTACACATAAACAGAACCTAAAGATACAGAGATCAGAATAGGTGTCTCTGAAGTTGAGACAATCCAAGGCTACAGACTCTTGTGTGGCACAAGGCACAACAGTAAGAATGCCTACATTGATTTCCTTAAATGGTGACTTTAAAAATACTAGAATATTCACATAATAATACAGTATTTGTGCAAATAAGTCCAAGCAGTTTCTTAATTGTATACAAGTAAGTTTATGCGGTTTTCAGGTTTTATTAAGGTACTTCATAATATGCTAGAAATAAGCACTCCAGTACAAAATAAAACCAGATAAAGTGAAACTAAATTGGACAAGGACCAGGATAGCTATTGACAAGGAATGTAACTTCTGCCTGGTAAAATGTGTATGAAAAATAAGAAAAAGGCTCAATGGCTCATAAATCATGTGGTCCAGGAAGGGTGCATCAGTAAGCAAAATTAGTAGACAATGTGTAGGAGAGAGGTTTCAACTTGTCATTTTAAAAAGAGAGTTTATCTTACGTTTCTTGATATATCCTTAATGCTGACCTGTTCGAATGGAGAACTTCCAAGCAGAATGACGTCTTTCTGAGCACATCTTTCAAACTCCTCAAGGTAAGCAGGGATGGCTTCATCTGCCTCTTTACGGATTTCATGACTCTTTTTGAAACTCACAGGTGCTTCAGAATGCAACGTCTCCTCCTGGACGCTCTCATCTGCGTACCCCAAGAAGATCACAGGGAATTCCGCTTGCCTTTGTCACTTTCATGTTGGCTAAACACACAGTAGACTAACTACTTTTTTTCTCATATGCGATAAAGTTGGGTTTTTCATATTCTACAATTTAGCAAACCATTTTCTGTTTCCTGTACTGGGAAATCACTAAAGCACAGAAGAAGTATCAAGATCAAGCTACAACAACCACCTTTGTTCGTCTCATAATCTTTACAAAGTGAGCAAAGTACAGCTGTGCATTAAAGCTTTTCTCCCACTTACCAAATGTATCTTGAAGTGTGGATGCTGTGCTTTTCCGCGCGTTAATATTACATGCTGTTTACTTCAACAACTTACCACTTACTCGCGGTGTCGTGGAAACCAGCTTGGGAGATGAATAGGTTTAGGAGAAGCCAGAGCTTTTGGTTCATTTTCCCACATTAGGATCCCCGAGAACAGTCCCCGAGCTCTGCACACAGAGGCACTTTATTTGGGCTACCTTGTTTATTTGCATGGAAATGCCAGCATTTATATAAATGGTATGTGTACTCGACTTCTCTCTCCATCATCTGAAAACAGTATCGTCTACAAAATGTATCTTTTCATCTAGCCAGATGCATGCTGTAAAATATAAAATATTCCTCCCTCTTCCATTCTCTAAAAAATGCTGGAAGGTATAATATGGAATTTTCCATGTCTCCAATACTAGAATTTTAACAAGAATCATTGGCAGAGAGCTTCTTTTGCAGGTGGGAAATGAAGTGGGGTACTAGAGAGAGCGCCGAGCTATAGCGGCCAGAGAACCTCTGGCCTTCTCTGCTCGCTGATATGCTGTGTTACCTTGCGTAAGTTTTTAAACTTTCTAGGTCTCAGTTATATCTTCACGTATGAAACAGCTGATAAAGTACCTGACTATTCTATACATTCTATGAGGCTTGCGTAAGCCTGTAAATGATTTTAGAAGCTCTATTGGGTGCCGTCTGTAAATGTCTGACTTGGGTGGGTTCAAAGGCTCCGAGCTGAAAGAGCTATCAGAACGGAAGGGAAATAACGGGGATAAAAGTGTGTTCCTCAATGTCTAGCACTGAGAGGTCTTCAATATGTTTGCTGGCTCAGAAATTAGACTACACATATTAAGGCCTGACTGAAGCATAAGTATTTGTGTTGCTTAATTTTCAGCTCCAACTTAACTAGGCCATGGTGTTTGTTTGCTCAAGCACCAATCTGGATGCGTCCGTGAAGGTATGTTTTAGATGTGATTAACATTAAAATCAGTAGACTTCGAGTAAAGCAGATTACTCTTCACAATGTGTGTGGGTCTTTTCCAATCTGTTGAAGGCCTGAAATATAAGGACTGAGATTTCTCAAAGAAGGAAGAGTTCTCTCTCAAGACCACAGCATAGAAAACCTGGTTGAGTTTCCACCCTGCTTCCCTGTGACTTTCAGACTCAAGACTACTATTTCTACTCCTGCCTGAATTCCCATCAACTCCTACCTGATTCTCCAGCCTGCCAGCCTTCCCTGAGGATTCTGGACTTGCTAGCCCCCACTACTGAGTGAGCCAATTTCTTAAAATAAATTTCTATGTATGGGTATATTGGTTCAATTAAATTCTGCTTCTCTGGATAATCCTAATACACCATTTGAATTCAGGATCCCTCAAAGTAAGTTCATAGCTGGCTTGAAAAATGACTTTGCTTTGTTTATAAAGGCCAAAAATTAATAAAATGTCAGCTATACAAACTGATAGCAAAACAGTGAAGAGGAGGTGTACCCCAGGTGGGAATAAAACTTGGGAGTGTATTATTTTGTAAATGAGGATCAAAAATGGAGACTAACCTTTAGGGTTGTTATGGAGTTCAAGTAAGTTAATATTTGCCTTATTTAGAACAGTGTTTACGACAATTGGTACAGTTTAGGACATTTCCTTACCAGGTATCTAGTAAGCACTCAAATGTTTAACTGGTATTAATATTTTTATCAATAGCATTATGATCATTATCTTTATTATTCTAGGTATGTCCTTATCATATCTGCTCATGTAATAATAATTTAATCCTTATAACTACTCCACGTGGCAGGTACTAGCTATCCATTTGGCAGAAATAGCAAACGAAGCTTAAGGTCACACAGCTAGTAAATGGCAAAGCCTCAGCACAAATTCAACAGAAATAATAACGATTAGAAGACTTAATCATGATCAGCCCTCTCCTCTTATGTACTTTAAGGAGTTGTTTTATTAAGGAAGACAGAATGACAGTTTGAAAAGCACTATGCACACACTGTGAAAAAAATTTAATAGAATTATTCCCCATGAATTCAGATATGTCTGTATACAGCAACTTAATGTTTTGGCAAAAACTACAGTATGGTTCTGGCATGAATTTATATGTGTTAATTTAAAAATTCAGTTTAATACATATAATAATTTTTTACTCAAACAGCCTAACGTTTGCAAGTATGAATTCCCACGCTCAAGTTGAGTACAATATACTGCTTGTCTTCTACCACACAAAAGCATTTATTTAAAAGCTAAGACACAGTTTTTTTATTTTTTTAAAAAAAAGCATGTAGCCTCATAAATTAGTGAATCTAAATATGCCATTATGCCATTTTAAGATCCTGCAATAACTCTTAAGTCATTTTTACCATTTAGCTTTATATATTGTATACAATTATAATTGCACCATAATTACTTTTCCCCAAAACTTTAGCTACATTTAAATATCTGCAACCATCAAAAGCACACACAGCCCATCAATGAATGGTTATATTTAGAAAAAACAGGTTAGCATATGCAAGAAACCATGTCAATCAATTTACAACTAATGTTAAGATAAAAAATTGAAAATAATTGGCATCTTACCTTGGGGTTCTTCTCGTCCACTCTCATCAAACAGCTTCATTAATCGATTATAGAGAATTCTATCATCACCTTCTAGGGTGTTAAAAGAATATGTGCATGATAATTTTCTCATCAACTAATTTATAGATATGAAAATGTAATTATAAAAGGAAATTATTATATTAATCATCATGGTTATTTAGTTATATTATGGGTCATAGATACAAATTCTACTCTATATGCTGCTTTGTTCTGGAAAACAAAAGCTGTTTTCTAAATCAATGATAATTGGAACAATGGTTTTTAAATGTATATTGCAGTACATGCATAATAGAATACTTCAACAAAAAGGATCTCATATTCAATGGATTATGACATCTATTACTCAAGAATAATTTCAGAACAAGTGATTATGGTTTGTCAAATCGTACGATAGAATATATAAGCATTTGGTCAAAATGAATGAGTGTTTTCCATTAGATACTTTCTATATATCATATTTTTACTATGTATATATAAAAAACACCAAAATTAAATGGTCTTGGATTCTTTTATACATGCTATTGTAATATGATAGTAAACATAACAACGTCTTAGTTCTTCTGTGAATTTAAAGCAAAGAGGCCATGTCATTACACACATACACCCAAAAAACTAATTATAAAAACAAAGTTCCAGAAGAGGGTTAAAAGTTCATCCAGGTGGATCTCTTGCCACTAGATAGAATCAAACATGAATGATGCAAGTTGGATGACCACCCAAGTCATTAGGACATTCATGCACCCATCAATACATTAAACATGTTTCCCTTCCCATGGAAGGCAATTAAACTAACTGTTTAAACTAAGAGCTTTCTGAGGTTTTCATTCTCTAAGTTAAAAGTTTCTGAAAATTCTCAGTCTTTCCCTTCTGTATGGACAGAAGATCCCTTGAGATCCCTTGAACACCAGTGTTGGAAAAAATCCAACGTCATCTATATCTGTGGACTTGAAATGACTAAACAGGAAAGCCTAGACTGTGGGGGCAAATGGAATAATTGAGAAAATGACACAAAAAGGTCTATGAAATTAGGAGTGTCTGCTCATTACACCCCGAAGATGACCTTTTCAAGTATCAGTTGACTTGTAAATGTTCTTTTCCTGCTAAGGGCCGACACAAACCTATTACTGTGCCAACACTCAGGGAAAGGGGAGAGGGGCCATTCCCAAAAGATATTTTGCAAGATTATGCATTAAGGAAGCACGGACCTTTATTCCAGCATTGACTGGAACTTTATAACTCTTAGTAGGATAGCTACAAAACTTATAAAGCTTATACATGGCTCATAAAAGAATCTTATTTGGAAGCTAACAATAAGCAATACCAGATCCATAGATATGGAGTTCTCTGCAGATATAATAAAAGCCCCAATGGGATTAATGTAGAGAGACCATCTTCTGGAGAGAGGCAGCACGGCACAGATTTGGCATCTGCCAAATCTGCACCCAAATTTCAGGTGTTTAGCTATCTAAACTGTGGAAGTTTCTTAGAGTCCCTGAGCTTGAATCTCCATGCCCAGAAAACTGGATGGTTTGAGGGTCAGCAAGATGATATACACAAAGCACATACCTGCATGCCTGACGGAGAAGGGGCACTCAGCAAAGAGGAGCCACTCACATATGCTCGCATGGTTTTTTGTTGTTGTTGTTTGTTCCTTTTTTTTTTTTTTGAGACAACATGTTGCACTGTCACCTGGGGCAGAGTGCAGTGGCACAATCATAGCTCACTGCAGCCTCAACTCTTGTGCTCAATCCTCCTGCCTCAGCCTCCTGAGTAGTAGGTACTACAGGTATGCGCCACCATACTCAGCTAATTGCTTTTATTTTTTGTAGAGACAGGGTCTTACTATGCTGCCCAAGCTGGTCTCAAACTCCTGAGCTCAGGCAGTCCTCCCACCTTGGCCTCGCAAAGTGCTGAGATCACAGGCATAAGCCACCATGCCCGGTCTATTTGTTTGTTTGTTGTTAATTACTTAGTAATTGTATGAAGTGCCTAATTTTTAAACAATTAGAGTTCTGTCATTCTGATCTAATATTTTTCTTTTCACCATAAAATAATAAGTTATAAACAACTTTTTGAGGATCATGTGAGAGGAAGCTGAACATGAGAGACCTAACCAATAGTTGCTATAGAAGTTCTGGTTCTTCGAGAAAACACCCCTCCAAGATGTTCCCAATAGACTTATTCCTGAAGGGACAACCAGATTATATAACACAGAAATGAAGGGCAAGAGAATATCCCCTTCAAATTCAAATACAACAATTTGAATTAACGTGTTTCCTTTCCCCTTCACAAGTCCTCCTCAAAGGGAAGGGAAGAGAAAGCCAGCAGGTGAAACACAACTCCTGAGGGAAAAGAGAACAGACTGTGTCAGAGACAGGTAGCCTCTGAATTCCACTCCACACTTGCCAGATCTGTGTGATCTTAGGAAAGATATTAAATCTCCCCAAGCTTGTTTTTCTCATCTTCAAAATGGGAATAATAATGTCTACTTTGGAAGGATTTGTATTGGTTGGTCAGCTACCATATCCAACCTAACACATTTCTTGAGCACTCAGTAAGTAATAATAACTAAGATTTACAGGAGGCTCACCATATGTCAGATACCATGCTTGATAGTTTAAATTCATTTCCTTATTTATTCATTAATTCAACAAATATTTATCGAGCACCTGTTCTCTGCCAACTGCTGTGCTAGGTTCTAAGAATTCACTGGTGAGCAAAGTAGACATGATCTGTGCCCACTTACATCCAGCAGATGGTCTAACAGGGGAGAAACACACTTCACAGACAATTGCACTAATACATAGTTTCTTGGCCATTGTAATGAGTTCTATCAAGGAGGTAAACATGGGGAATCATGCAGGTTAGTCAAGGGAGTTAAGAATTGACAGTTAAGTTGAGCCTTTGTGAAGAGACGACATTGTCCAGGTAAGGAGGGAAGGAGGGTGTCCCACTAGCTGTGAGGGTTCCGTGTTCATGAGGGAAATAGCTCCATGTGTACAAGGAACAAAAAGAAATCCAGTGTGGCTGGAGCATGGTGAGCAAGTGGAAAAGATTTGAGATGAGGCAGGAACATACATTGGTCTCTACCCTAAACGCAACAGGCAGCAGGGAGAGGGCTTCAATAAGGAAGTAGCAAGATCTGATTTGATTCTAAAGATAATCCCTCCAGATGGTGGATGAGGACAGAAGGTGTTCAGGCATTCCAGGTGGGAGCTGAGGTTCACTTGTGATTGAGTGTGGGCAGAGGTGCTCAGAGCCCACAGCGTATGAGATGCATTAGATCTTATTATTTTAATGTCAGCAAATAAATTGAACATCATAGGTGAGCCAAGCACTGTGCCAGATCCTAAGGATATTTAAGGTCCCCTGGAGAAGACGACCAGTAAAGATAATTATAGCAATAAATATGATATGGTTTTTTTCCTTTGCCGTGCACCCCAGTTATTAACGGCAAAGGAAAAAAACCAAGGTGATAAGAGAAAGCAGCAGAGTTAAGGTTTGGTGATTAGGAGAACACATTTAATACTTCAAATTAACAGGCCCTCGTCACCCTGTGAAGTATTATTATGAATTAATAAATGATTATTAGAGACAGCCTGCAATGGTTAATTTTATGTGTCAACTTAGTTAGGCTATGGTGCGCAGTTGTTTAGTCAAACACCAATCTAGACTTGCTGCTAAGGTGTTTTCTAGATGTCATTAACATTTACAAGGGCAGACTTTGAATAAAGGTTAATATTTAAATAAGTAGACTTTGAGTGAAGAAATGATTATTAGAGACAGCCTGCAATGGTTAATTTTATGTGTCAACTTAGTTAGGCTATGGTGCCCAGTTGTTTAGTCAAACACCCATCTAGACTTGCTGCTAAGGTGTTTTCTATATGTCATTAACATTTACAAGGGCAGACTTTGAATAAAGGTTAATATTTAAATAAGTAGACTTTGAGTGAAGAAGATGACCCTCCATAACATGAGCAGGCCTTCTGCACTCAGTTGAAAGCCTTAAGAGAGAAGACAAGTTTCCCAAAGAAGAAGGAATGCTCTTCCACACTGCAACAGAGAAATTATTGCTCAGTTTCCAGTCTGCTGCCCTGCAAAATTCAGACTCCAGAATATAACATCAACCCTTACCTGATTTTCACATCAACTCTCATCTGAATTTCCAGCCCGCCAGCCTGCCTTACAAATAGCCTTGCCAGGGCCCACAGTCAAGGGAACCAATTCTTTAAAAATCTCTCTCTCTCATAAACATATGTATGCACTATGTAATATGCATATATTTTATATACAGATGTATCTTAGCAGGAGAGAGAGATCCTATTGGTTATGCCTCTTTGGAGAACTCTAATTTATAAGCTATTATTACCTATATCAGGTCATATACAAAATCGGAAAATAATAAATATTACACATCTACTATATAGCAGCACTGAAATCCATATTCTATATTAAGTAAACAGTTACTTATTATTCCATTAATTCATTATCAGGAATTATTACATTACTATGAATTATTATACTCATTCATTACAAGGAATTAAGGATAAAGCAATTATTTATTATTTTTACAATCTCTACTAGATAAAAATTAATGCCATATGCCCTTCTGGAATTTAGTGTAAAAAAATAAAATAGTGGGGGTAGTGGGTTATTTACACTGAAAAAGAGTGTCATTTCTATTAAACATTGGGTGTTACCTATCTACGGTGTTTCCCCTTATACCTTGACTTCCGGGAAACTCAAAGTATTAGTAAAGATGCGTGCTTCATTACAATAATAACATCATTGTCCTGTGTTTCCCATACACTGACTTCTTTCTTTCCTAGGTGTTCTCAAATGCCCCTCTCATCTTTACTTGGACTTTTCTGTAACCATGTGCATTTATGCTTCTATTGTGAGCTGTCTCAAATTATTTTAGAAGTAAGTAGAGTTTAGATTATAAACATATAAATATGAGAACAAGCTCAACAAAAGGGAAGACAGATGGAAGCAAGTAGACCTTTGGGGTGTTCCCAAAACTTCTTCCACCCAAAGCACTGTGAACTACACCTTTGCTGGGACCCGCCCAGCAGCCCTACTGTGTGCCTGCATGATCTTTAGCCCTGCGCCGCAGAGGAAGTGGGAAGATATGAGTGCTAATTGGTACTATCTGACTCCCTAAATGCAGTAACTGTGAAGGTCCGAGTGCTCAGCGAAAAGAAAAAGAAGCCAGCATGAACTACAAACGCACGACAGAGCTCCTCCTGGGAGGCTGCTGAGCTGAGTTCTCTCTCTTTACACCTGCATCTTCTTGTTTCTTCCACTGTCCTCCCCATCTCAACTCCCAAAGGTAATGGTTCATATCATTGACATTTTCTTATTTCGCCATCACCTGGACAATGGGACAGAATCTCGAAACTGGCAGAGGAAAGGCTTTTGGCCAATCGCTGTATCTCTGCACTGAATGAATGAATTCACCAATGGAAACCATTACTAGAAGAAATCCAATGTTAACGAGAGTACTTGATCCCACCTCGAACCAAGTCCCCTTTTTAAAGATGTATTATAATATTACTAAATTATTATATTATATATTATTTATATAATATGTTAGTACATATAATATATATCTTAATATTTCTGGAAATAGTATCCTTTAGATAGATTTCCAAAAAATAACATCCACTGGTGAAACTGGCAGTTAAATTTAAAGCCAATTTGTCATGACAGTAGTTTATGGAAAATCAGCTTGTGATCCTGGGAAAGTCAACACATCACAAAATATCCTTGTCAAAGAGCCACTAAAAGTATTTTCAAATATCTGATATAAAAGTGTTGTGTTTGATAATGGAATATTACAAACTACAGTTCATCTTATAATGAATATCAGTTTAATCTTCACAGATCTGGTATCTGGTCACATTAAGTTTATGGGTTAATATGAAAGTGTAGGGTCGTTCATTACTCATTGGTTTTTGGACAAATATGTATCACATACTTATTATGTATGAGGCACTAATTGCTGAAAATATAGCAACTAATGAACAAGACACGTAGAGTCCCTTTCCACATGGAATTTCCATGAAATTCTCGTTTCTTAATACCGTATGCAGAGTAGGAGATTAGCTATTAGGAGTGTGCATTGTGCACAATTGCTCATGAAAATACTCTAGAAGCTGGTAGAAATGTATGGCAAACTGATCTTTTATTAGTCACATTTGGCCCATTGCACTTCATTGATATCATATTTACACCACACAGGGTTCCAGGGAAATGAAACATAACTTATCTCGTAGAAAATTTAGGAGACTAGAGAAAACCTTTTTTTCAACCACAAGTTCCTAAGCTGTAGGAGGCAAATAGCCTAGATGAAGTGAAAATATTGAAATTCTCGCCTATTTTGAGAGAAAAAGATATCTGAAGTGTTCAGTCTGTCCAAATGACAAGGAATATAAAAACTTTTTCAATTGATATTGAAAAGTAAATCTCCCAGTTAAGAAAAAATTTCAGAGAGAGAAGAGAAAGAAAAACACTGAGGAAGAAATGAGGGAAGAAAATGGGAAGCAGACGGGAAGAAAAGGTGGGAAGGCAGTTACCAGGAAGCGAGAGAAGTAAAAACAGCCAGCAAGGGCTCAGCAGGAAGGAGGCTGGCGGCAGAACCCTCAGCCAGCCAGAGGGCCAGCTTCTCCCCCACCAGCGATGCCAGCACGGATCTGTGGGCGCAGGCAGAGAATGAGCTGCCTGCTCTAAAAGAGGAGACCCCAAGTGAGCCCACGGGAGTTGGGTTAAGTCACCTTTCCTAAATTAGGGAGTCCTGGCATGACAAACATTCTACCAAATATAACTATGTATTGTGATTCCTGAGGAATTAGACTTCAACTGATAATTCAATTGACGCTCCTGCCCAGAAGTCACTGGAATTGTCTCTCTGCCCTCAAGGTGTTTGGCAAATAAAAGGTTGAGATTTTCCTGTTTCAAATTCACCTAGACTTTTGAGCTACCAGTGAAAACTGGCCTTGAGAATAAGTCCCTGTCTTATCCTGTACACAGGTCTTTTGATGATATGTGTGGATTCTGCATCACTTAAAAATAGAATGGCTTTTATCAAAAGGTCCCGAACAACCAATGTTGGCGTGGTTGCAGAGAGATAGCAACACTCATATGCTGCTGGTGGGACTGCAAACTAGTGCAACCTCTAGGGAAAGCAATATGAGATATCTCAAAGAATGACAAGTAGAACTACCATTTGATCCAACAATCCCACTACTGGGTATTTACCTAAAGGAAAAAAAAGACATTTTATAAAAAAGACACCTGCACTCGAATGTTTATAGCAGCACAATTCACAATTGCAAAGATGTGGAAACAACCCAAGTGCCCACCAAAACATGAGTGGATTAATAAAATGTGGTATATGTATTCCATGGAGTACAACTTAGCCATAAAAAATGGTGAACTAATACCTTGTGTATTAATCTGGATGGAACTAGAGACCATTCTTCTAAGTGAAGTATCACAAGAATGGAAAAACAAGCACAACGTGTACTTGCCATTAAATTGGAACTAATCGATCAACATTTATGTGTACATATGGAAATAACATTCGAAATCAAGCAGGTGGGAGCAGGGAGGAGGGGATGGATAAATTCTCACCTAATGGGTATAACACACACTGTCTGAGGGATGGGCACATTTATAACTCTGACTCAAATGTGCAAAAGCAATTTTGTAACCAAAACATTTGTACCCCTGTAATATTCTGAAATTTTAAAAATCACAAAAAAATAAAAATAAATAAAAATAGGTTACTGAGAGCTATTTTGTAAAATAACCTTTGCACTGTGCTTGAGCCTTTTTGTGGGTGTGAGAATCCACCCCAGTCTTTCATTAAAAAGTGCAGATTTACCCCCATAATATCCTGATTTAAAAAAATAGAAATAATAATAATAATAAATAAATTTTTAAAAAGTACGGATTTAATGACTAGTACCCAATAGTGGGGTATGATCTTCTGGATTGCAAATAATTCTAAGTAACATTTGTCACTGTCAATATCTCACCAATGATCTTTATAAACCCCAAAGCGTTTTATAACTATAAAATATACATAACAGTGTGCACCTAAAGAGCACTTTTGAATTGCTGTTTTACAACTACAACTAGATTCATGATCACGGAAGAGGAGATTGTTATCATAGCACGGCATCTTCATGGTTCAAAACTTAGGTGGTAGTTCCACGCATGTGATGAAAGAAATTCAATAGTCACACTGTATGGAAATCTCATGTGCTGGACGCATTTTACTGAAGAATGCTCATTCTTAAATCCAAAGAACATAGATGCATCTGCCAAGTGATGATGATCTTCAGATGCTAACATGGGCCTTACGACAGCCCAAACTGCTTACGGTAGCCTCGGATGAGAGCAGACCGCTGCCTCTTTCCTCTGACCAGCTTGCTGTCCTTGATCAAAAATTACCTTCGCTGCCCGTCATGTTGTTAGCGGTTAAAACTTACCATTTAAATTGTAAGCTGCAAAATCTAAACGGAACTGCATGTGTGATCTTTGTCACCTCATTTTCATGAATGGAAAAGAATATTCTGACACAAAAATTACATACTTAATTCTAGCTCACCTTCTCTGCTGACCTCCATCCCACACTGCCTTGGGTTTATTTCCTCATCCATCAGTGGGTCAAAGTAATTTCTGCTGTATTCATTTCCTGTGGAAAGTACACGAGGTAAGGGTCAGTGATTATTAGAAGCACATGAACCAAAATGTTAATTTTGAAATCGACACCAGCACAGAAGGACCGTTTTAGCTCTTTTATAAGTTTAATTTTTTTACAAGTCTTCCAGGCCTCCCTTTTTGGTAATTATCATCTTGCAAAAGGTCATAAAAGGTAATTCAAGAAACAAGTTCATGCTATCTTTCTGTTGCGAAAAAGTTAATGAAAAAATTATCAAATGCAGACTTTAGAAGAATAATCAAAAAATTAAGTCAAAGTATTTTGAGGATATACTCCAAAAATGGATGTAGTTGGGTTATAATGATGTGTGGAGTTCACTGATGACTATATTTACTCACTTGTATTTCACTAAGCATATCATATTGTTGTGTCCAGAATTCCATTTGCCAACTTAGTGATGTCTTATTTATGAGAAATTGTTGCAAAATTTCCATGTCGATAGGTGAATGAAAGGAAGAAAGAGGGAAAGACAAAGAGAAAAGAAGGAAGGGAGGGAGGGAGAAAGGAAGGAAGGAAGAGAGAGCCCTGTTTATAAGTATTTTTATGTCAACTTACATAACATGAAGGGAAAGTACAAATGATTTAGCCAGAAATTTATTCAGCACACATCAACAATATCAACACACACCAGAATTTCTCACTTTGCCTTTCCCACATATTCTGTCCTCATCACCAGCACCAGAAGCTATAGCATCGGGTATGACTTTGTAATGGAAAAAGGTCTGCTATCAATTTTCCCAATCTAGTGCCATACTTCCTGCGGACTGAAATGTATATGTCTGTTGCTAGTAATTTGCATTCAGCAAAGTATAACCTACTCTGATGATAATTCAAGTTCCCTCAAACACTACAAAAGAAATAAAGCATTGTAGAGTAAAAACAACAATTTTAAAAGTATGGCTCACAGGGAAGGGCTAGTACATACGAGGTATACTGTGATATTCCATAGTGTATTTGTTTCAGGATCAAAAGTAATCCAAACAGCGGCTCCTTCTCCAAGGCTAAATGAAATTTTGATGTGAACCTACGTTTAATTTTTATTTCTGGGCCGACATATTTTTGCTGTCAGTCTGTTCTATCAATGTAGTAAGTACAAGAACTGAAAATCTGCTTTACCTTGAGGTCTCAATAAAGAAAAAAGAAATGAGTTTCATCTTTGTTACTTTATCTGTCAACAACTAATAGGCTGGTATGAATCAGGGCCGTATGTAATCAAAGTCTTATGTACTGCAGTAACGGCCATTCTTCCTCGTTCACTGTAATTGTTTGTTTGTTTCCTCTCCCACAAAGCACTGTGACACTCTAAGTACACTCTCATATGCTGGCAAAATAATTAACCTATATTAGAGCAAAGAAGGTAGCATATTCCTTATTATATTGCCACACCAGCATCCGCCAACTGCTGGTACCCACACCTGGAAGCGTCCCCAGTCCAACACAGAACTCAACTTCTTTGCCTACTGTAATAATTGGTTAATAAATATTACCAAAATAATCGATACCTTGGTGAGTGAAACAAGACAAGACGTTTTTAACCAAAAGTCTGGAGAAGTGTATTTGGTTTTTAGGTTCTTGAACCATTTTCATCCCTGTCGTCAGTTGAGATGTTGGGGTCTTGCCCAGCTGCACGTGAAGGAAGCTGGCCCAGCAGGAGCCTTCTGCGCTGCTAAGTCTCCCTTCAGGGTTCGATGTCTCCCCACAAAACAAGGAGATGGGCCCCTGTAAGGTCCGTGCAAATTGCTCCTTCCGCATTGACTATGGGGCGAGGAACACGTATTCAGTTCCAGACCCCGCTCCTGCAGTGGTTGCCCCTGTTTCCCCTTCTGGGGTACCACGCACGGCATTTCACAAGGACAGAATTCTGGGGTATCTTGAGCAAAAAGCCCTTGACACTTTTAGTACTGCTTTCCTTTAAATATCCTCAAGTTCCATATTATATTACATATTTATAGAATTTATGCATTTTTATAATTTGTATGCATTTTATATTATAGTTTAAATTCTGTTATGTACTGTTTTACAAATACAGTATTATACTTGTCTATTGTCTGTCTGCCCCACCAAAGCATAAACTCCGTGAGGGCAAAGTCGTTAGTTACCTTTTTGCCCACTGCATCACACTCCGCACCTAGAATAGTGCCTGACACACAGAGCAGCTCACAATATGATCCCGATTCCTTAATTAAATAAATCTCTCCTGGAAACCTATTGCAGTGCCCTAATCCTTTCATTGGCTAGCTGTTCTTTCTGGATTAAATGAGCGACAAGTTATCACCTTTCATCACCTTTTCTTCCTCTCTTCCTTCCTGTTCCCCCTTCCCTCTCTCCTCTCCTTCAGGCCCCCAGGCCTTTTCTGTTTAATTGAGTGCTTCTAGGAACCAAGCACCGTGTCTGGATTTAAAAAACAAAACAAAAAATCTCTGAGAACGAGGAAGCTACACATACACAGTCTGGTTCGCTTTAACACTGTGGTAAAGGACAGAGTCTGTTCTGGCCTGTGGAAGAAGCATCCGGCCCTACTGGGGGCTTCGAAGAAGACTTCCTGCAGGAAATGCTGCCTGATGGAAGTTTTTGAAATATGATTAGGAATTAGCCAAGTCAAAAATACAAGGGAAAGAAATTGTCAGCTGAGGGAGAAGCCTGGATAAAGGAGAAAAGGCACAAAGGCATAAAGGGATGTTCCACGGTTTTTCCCAGCCTCCTGTAAGTTACAATTCAGTAAAGTGAACAACATAATCCAATCTTCTTCACTAGTCCATAATCAAGTTGACTAGTGTATTTGCTCAAATTTATTAGCGTGTTTTTGTACAGTGTCACTTTATGATGTTGCATATCCATTCGTTCATTCAATCAATACTCACTGAGTACTTACTATGTGACTATAGCAGTAAAACCAAATGCTCGAAAATCTCCCCCCATCACAGGACTTACATTCTGTGAGTGGAAGAATAAACACAATAAATGTGCATTTTACAGTTTACTAGATGGCGGTAAGTAATGTGGGGAAAAATAGCGCCAGGTAAGGATGATCAGATCCCCAGGAAGAGGTCGGGGCTGCATCTTGTGTGCATACTTTTGTTTCAAACGAAGGATGCCACTCAGGAGTAAGATACCACGCTCGCAAGACAATTGAGATATTGAAGCTATAATGTATTTATTGTCATTTATAACATTATTTTGCCAATTGCTTGCTGTAACATAAATCAGCCTATGAATCAAATAAGAACACACTGTAAAATATTACAATGATTATTGCTTTCTATCAGTATTTCTTGCCCCAGAAAGTCAATAATTTGAACACAGCAGGCAGAGTTCAGGATGGTGAAGCACATGGAAACTGTTATAAATTTGGAAACAATGGACTTCATCTTAGCACTAGCTCCTTTTGCTCGTGTTTTCATTGGATGGTGTCAGGATTTAATAAAATGGGATGGTTTTAGGAGAGGGCGTATATTACCAGAAGGTAGATTGCTAATAGAATAAATTCCTAGAAGTGTCCTAATCATTCAGAGTATGCTTTTGGATATATCTAAAATCATCTCACAGGAAAATTAACAGACCCACTGAGAAATTTAAAGTAGGGCATTTAGCAATACAAATACAATAGGCTTTAATGTGGCTGATATTTAACTCTTTGTGATTTTCAGAAGAATAATGATAATCACATTTGCATACATACACATGTATATGTAGAAGTGTGGTTCTATATTGACACAATCAGATGTGATATATAAACTAATAAATCAGTAAATTGGTCTTATCAGTACTCTTGGTACTCTATTTTTGCTTCCAGCTTCCTGGCAATAGCTGCTTGATGTTTAGAATCAGCAACAGTTAATGCATTTCTTGTGCATTTTTTACTGAATTGGGGGAGGAAAACACAAGCACTTGCCTTCTGCCCTTCCACATGTATCACGTTTTCCTATCATTTAACTCAGAGCAGCTTAGAACATAATCAGGACTTTCACTTAAATTACACTGTACATGAACTTTGGTCAGGTAACCCTCCAGTGGGCACCCATGCAGTTCCTCGGGGGCTACAGGAGTGAGAATGAAATTGCCCACCAGGGGAAGGTTAGTACAAATCATCCAAGTGTCTTGACTCGACGAGGCAATCACTTCCTTTCAAATCAGCTACATTAGTTAGAGAGGAAGAAAATCCGAATGCAACTATCTATTCCTTGGGAGGTTTTTATTAGCCCCATTTTTGTCCTTTTCCTATAAATCCATCTGCTTCAGCTCAGCTTTTTATCACCAATCCCTGTGCTTTCTATAATATGTTATAAACTAAGTAAACACATGTAAACTAAATAACTAAACAGTTTATATTCTACGATTACAGTCATGCACCAAATTTTTACAAAATAGGATATTCTTCTGAACATTATTCCTTTTAAAGGCAGAAAGCCTAGAAAACCGAAATGAAATTTTATTCCTATGAAGTTTATAAATAAATGTGAGAAAACATCACATTTTCCCCTCTTTGAAAATCCAATACAGATATCTCAAGTTTAAATATCCATGGGACCAGACAGTTTACATAAATATAGGAAACACAAATGTGGAAATCCGGGGACAGCACTAGACTATGGAGCAGCAGGAACTATGTTAGACCCAGACATGCTGCACAATACTGAATCCATTCAAATACTATTTCCATGGTGCTGATTTACAAATATTTTTAAATGAAAGGTAGCTAAAAATACAATAATACTTAATATGATAAAAAATAGCTATCTTAAATTGAGTCTTCATTATACTAAATAGCAAAACAAAAACCACAACAAAAAACCCAAACAAACAATAAAACCTAATGACAAAAACACAAACTATGACTTGGATGTCCACTATCAACATTATTAGCCAACATTCTCTAGGAAATCTTGGCCAAAGCAGTTACGGCAAAAATAAGGGAAACGTGCACTAAAATTATTGAAAAAAATTATATGTTATGTAATTTTTAGCTGAAGACG